AAGCCTGGCCGCCAACTACCTCAGACAAAACCCCAGCCACATAAGGTCATTTATCAACAGTGGTTTCTTCCCCGCTCACCCACAGCTCCTTTTAGCCTCTCATTCTTTCTGACTTATTTCATTAACATTTCCTTCTTTCTCAGGAGAGGCCAGAGCCCCAGGGAAGCTCTCTCTTCAACCCCAACCCCAGGGCCCCCATTACCAATGGGGCATTGAATGGGAGCCAGGGTGTTGTCTGGGTAAAGAGAAATTACAAACCACAAATTGCAGAAAGTCGTCACTGCCAAAAAAATAGAACACCAACAATTGAAAGGAACACACAATATTACCATGCCTCTTAAAAAGCAATTGTGCATTTTCTAGCCTCTGGATAATTCAGGTTGTTGGGCAACTTTCTCCTCCACACCACCCAGATGACCAGGCCCTTCCACCGGAGGCAGGGGTCCTACAGAGTAGGGTTATGGAAAAGGAAGTAAACACATGTGGGGGCAAAGCCTTCTGGGGGTCTGATTGAACCTGACAGGAGTCTGTTTCCTTCTGTCCTATATATTTTAAGGCCCAACATCTGCCCCCAAGGGAGCAGGGAGATTAGATAGTCTAATCACTTCTCAATGCCTTATGGCTGCGGCAGCATTTTTAGATTGTAAAGCACGTCCTGAGTTCTTTTCTTCCGTGGTGATCACAGCACTGTTTAGATGTGACTCAACTGTCATCAGGTAGACGCCAGCTCATAGTGACTCTCCAGGACAGAATAGAATCCCCCCGCGCCCCACCCCACCCCATCCCACCCCCGTTGGGTTTCTCAGACTGTAAATCTTTTCAGAAGCAGACAGCTTCATCTATCACAGGGCAGCTAGTGGGTTTGAACCACCGATCTTGCCGTTAGCACTTAGCCCACTAAATTAATCAAGCAAATACCAGTTTGCTTTTTCATATGCCAGGGAAAGTGAAAAAGTATGGATACTAAAATCATAGGCTACTTTGTTAAATAAAATTGTCAGCATATGCTGCCATTGTTTCCTGACTTAGCATCCACCTAGGTCTATTGGCTTCTGCAGGAGGTATTTCCGTCTCTTTACACTCTTATTGGTGGCATGGTGGGTTCTGCAGGGAGGTGCCAACCCCAAGGTCAGTGGTTCAAAGCAACCAGTTGTTCCTTAGGAGGAACATGAGGGTGTTGACTCCCTCAAAGACTTAAAGTCTCAGAAAACCAAAGGGGCAGTTCCGCTCCATCCTATAGGCGCACTGATCAGTTTCAGTGAATTCACTGTCAGTGGGTTTGGTTTGTAAATCTTCCCCCAAGAATTCATGCTCTGTGGCAGTTTGGGCACCCTCGAGGGACTCAAATCATGCCCCTTCAACATGTTCTTTGACTTAGGAGAACAAAACCAAGTCTGAAGGGGCAGTGGGACTCTCACAGGGCAGTTCTTGATACCATCGGAGAAGGAGCAGGTGCATTGTCATGGGGTGGAGGGGCGGGGGAGGAAATCCTTGGTGCAACTTTTCTGGTCTTTGCCTAACCCATGTATTTATCATTCTCATAAAACTTCTCCGCTTGAAGCCCCTGTGATGGCCCTGTACATTTTGAGAAAATCTACCAAGATGGCCCCTTGGGAATTTCCAAAATCAGTTATCGCGATCTTCTGAGCAGTTCTCTCTGCCTTGAATTTCCCTGGCCCAGCAGATCCCCTAGGAAGCCATGGTCTTAGGTGGCCCCTCTTTCGTAAGGCATCAGGACCTGGCTAACACAGGTGCATCACTGAGAAAGTGTGTCTGCAGCCGCTCACCAACTGCAGAGACAACGTTGAAACACAGGTTGCTTGGAATAAACCTGTGCCGGCAAGAACTGGGACCCCAGTGCAGTACTTTTGACGTACCCTGGTCATAGGCACTGTTGTCGATTCATTTTTGTCCTGCTAAAATATATGCCATGAATTCTAACCTGCATAATGGGAAATGCGGTTTTCTTTGTTACGTGAATGTGATCCTCTCAGTTACTGCTTGTTTGAATGTCTAAAGGGAACCGATTGGACACAGAAGCAAGCAGATGGGGACGATAGGTGCCAAGACCACCAAGGAGCTTCAAAGAGGAGAGGACCTTCCCACAACATCGACAGAGAGAGACTTCCCCCATGGCAGCAACTATCAACAGCAGGAAGCTGACGGATACTCTGAGTCAGACCACTTCTCAGGGCTTGGTATCTGAGGCACAAACCTGGGCCATCCGACTTTTACTCCTTCATCTCCCAGTCCTATGTCTCTAGCAGCCATAGTTTCCTGATACCACTCAGGTTGCTCTCAGCGAGTGGAGTTGGGATGATATAGATCACAATCCTGTTTTCAAGTCCTTTAAGGTCAAGGGTTCTTAACTGAATGGTGCTAATGAAGACACTTCACATTTCTATTGGCCAGATAATCATTTTGACTTCATGTCAACCCCAGAGGGGTTGGCCATGTGTGGCTGCCAAAATAAGGCCAAGACACAATTGTCTGGGGACATGCGTGCATTTTTGGGAGTCCATAGCTCAGGTCTACTTCCATCTGTTCATCAGAGATGATGCCATGGGAAGATGTGTTGCGAGTAGATCACATGGTCTGGATGCTGTACAATGCTGATACAAGTTATTCCTCAGACTATTTACTAGAATAATCGGTCACCCAGGACAGTGTATGTCTTTGAGATAAAATGTGAAAAAAAAAATCACAAATCGACCCGACTTCCATGGCAGAGTTCTCACCTGCACTCAACTCTTGGCCAAGGGACCTCTGGGACCTCAGTGGAGGATTATGCACTGTGATCATGCTGAACTAGTTCCGGTAGAGCTTCTACAGGGGCGTGGAGTAGGAAGGAAGGCCCGGAGTACCAATTGGGAAAGTCAGTCAATGGAAAAATGCATGGACCACAACAGTCCAATCAGCAACTGAGCCCAGCAGCAGTGCAGGACCAAGAGGCATTTCACCCCACTGTGCGCAGGGTGACCATGCACCTTGGACCAGCCCAGATACAGCTAACAGCAAGGAGAGATGTCTAGCACTTTTTTCTTTTTCTGTCTGAAAGGTAATGGGGGCTTCCAACTGAAATTCTGATAAAGCGATCCTGGGGGGCTAGGCCATTAGGTGTTTATATATTTGCATAATCTTATATATTTGAACATGATGTTTGTATAGAATGATTTTAAATGTTGCCTTAAGAGTTTCCCCTCACCTAATTTTCACCACAGGCACACATATACCAAATTCCCTTTAATATTTTAACTCGAAGTGATTTCAAAGCAGAGAGCTTCCACGGGTGGAGAACAGAGCCAACACCAGCTCCATTCTCAGAAGCAAGCGAGCCCTGACAAGTGAGCACTGTGGCCATCAAAGACTGCTGGCAGCACCGCAAAAGGGGGTCTGCTTATGAAATCGAACCTGACTTTATGGCTAGAAGAAGCTTAAAACACTCATCGTAGCACAGAGTCTTGATAATGCTAGAAAGACCAACAGCAATATAACACAGAGATTTACATTTTTTAAAATTCAGAGGTTACCCAGCGTTTTGAGATGGCATGTGGAGGGTTAGAAGGTGAATGTTGTTTGTGCTGATGTCTGAATATTTAGTAGACAGCAGGTGGATCCATTTCTTCTAGAGGGCAGACAGCAGAGAGACAAAGCCCAGCCAGGGAAATCAATAACCTAGTTTTTCTATTTTTCTCAAGGACTGCATGGTTCAAAAGCAAATGGATTAAAACCTGTGTAATTCAAGTGAGACCTCTGGGCTCTAATGGGGTGAAGGGTACCGAATTAAGTGCTTCTTCAGAGACTCATTGCCCACTGGGAGTTCTCTGTGGACCCAGATCTGAAAGTGTGGGGCAAATGGTTCAGGGCTGAACCACTGAATAAAAGGCTGGTGCTTCAGGTCTATCCACAAATACCTGGGACTCTCCCTCTGAAGGACCACCTCCACTGAAAGCCCTCTGGGACACAGCTCCACTGACACAGACAAGCAGGGAACCACTGCAAGTGGGGACTGAGTCCATACAACTGGTTTGGGTTTGTTTGTTGGGTTGTTTTCATAGCTATCCCTGGGTTTACCTGGGCCAGCCGGCCACCTCTTGCTAATTATTTGGGAGTGACAAGTAACTTACTACCATTTGAGCTACCCTGGAACATCTAGAGTCCGTCGATTGACTCTACATCTGTCCTCGGCTTTTTGAACCTGCGTGTCATCAAGTTATTCTAGAAACAGAGCTTTCACATTTTTGTTAGTCTCTTTGTCAATTTCATTTTGTTGAAAAAGAAGAAGAAGAAGGCGGAGGAAAGAAAGAAAAGACAGCCATCCACATTCTCATTCCAAAAAGCAAAGTTCTGAGATATTCAGAACTCTCCATCTGGGCCTACTGTGATTAGATTTGGTCTCTTAGACAGAGAGGGGTCTTGCAGCCTGGGTCTGCGCACCACCCCATACTGGGAATACCAAGAATAAAGAAATATAAGACACAGGGGATCCGCGCTCGAAAAGAACCCTGGCTTCCAGAGTGGCCATGGCGCAGTGCACAAAGGCAGGGATGATGAAGGTAATCAGCATGCTGGTAAATAAGAAACAGTCTGTGAGCACAGGACGAAGAGCAACGGGACAGAGAATAACAAAGATGCCAGCCATCTGAAAGAACCTGAGTAATGACATGTTAGGTGCTTCACGGTTATAATGGCTAAATGAATACTGCCCAATTTTTGCCTCTTTGCTTTCTTCCCCCCACCCCCTAGCATTGTGGATGCAATCTAGTTGCAGCCATAATCAGGTTCAATCTGCTTCTGCAATGACTTATGACATGCCCCATGCTGTTACACAAATGAATAGTGTGAAATGTTAGATTCAAACCGGGGCTGTATTTGTAGAGCCCAACTTTCAACAGACAGCAGTGTGAGAAGGGGAGTCTTAAAGATGAGGAGGTTGGTGGTGGGGGGCGGGATACGGCGGCTGAGCAGCAGATATTCTTTCAAGGAGGGAATATACTTACATTTTACTGCAAGTGAAATGCCTGTCTTTAAAGAGTAGCCTCTGAAACAAAGAGAGAGAGAAAGCGGGTTCAGAAAAATGGTCCAGTAACGAATTCAACATGAGCAGGCGTTGCATTGCTTCCTGGGGGATGGTCAGGGACTGAAACAATGGGAAGCCTTGAGATGTAAAACTATTCATTGGAAAACTCTTCAGTTCCGAGGAGGTACCTGGATCTGTAGCCAAGAAAGAAACCATTTAAAGGCAACTGCCGGGTGTCATTACATGCTCAGCTCCCTGCCCCTGCCATCTTCTAGAATTTTGAGATCCCTTAAAACTCACTTGGAGCCCCAGGCTTCCAGGTCCGAGCCTAGGAGAGGGAGCATGTGGACCCAAGACTGCCTAGCCCATTGGCTAGACTCCCACCAATCTCTTGTTCCTAGTTCAGTATGACAGTGTCCCTTGTCTGGTAGGCCCAGTTCTGACGCACCAGTCCATCAAATGAGACTCCTGCTAAAAATTATGATTTCTCTCAGTTCATGCTTATTGGAATAAGTGGACAGTTTCTTTTCCAAGAAATAAAAGGCTTTGGGGGAGATGACGATTGGAATGAAACAGGCGCCAGGTTTCTCTTTACTCAAATTGAAGATGAACAATTAGACTGTGCCTATGCTGGGATGGAATTTGCCCATCATAGAGGCAATTTGCATGGTGTATGCAGCCCACCAGACAGCCCAGCTTGCCTCCAAATCCATCTTTTAAAAAATAGTAATCTATTGTGGTCATATCCGAATGGGTACTTTTCAGGGTAGGAGGTTTAATTGGGGATGGCAGCTCAGTCCTCATGATTAATGCCAACTATTTGGATTCAGAGATTCAAGAGGTTCCAGGTTGTCTCCACGACTGAAAACTCAACCCATAGACTCCTTGGACCGATGGGCTGATCTTCGCAGGCCACACACGCTGATCTCCATCAGAAAGTTATTTTACTTCAGTGGGTAATAGTTTTCCAAGTTCTACTATTATTTAGGCGTGTGAATCTTGGCATTGATTCAATGCTCAGAGAATGACAGAAATAACAATAGTGGATAGTCCAGGGAATCCATTTAAGAGTTAAGTAAAGTAATGCATATAAATTAGTCATACAAGGCTGGCCAAATGTAAATACTTGATAAATGCTACCTGGTATTGTACTGTGATTGCTATTACTATTATCAGAAGGACCATATGGAAAACTAAATTAAGAGGATTTGATAAACCCAAGAATTCAGAGCTAGGAACCTAGCTTTGAAATTTCTCTCCCAGGATGCTTTCCTCCAATAGCCACTCCACCAATTGCCAAGTAGAATTTGAGTTCTATCAGGACCTACATTGGACGATCTTGAAATGATTTAGCAAGACACTCAATTCTTCTTCCAGAATCTATAAAGGTGGTGAGGTGTCACAGATTAGCTAATGTTTGTATTATTGTCTTGCTGGGTCCAGGAAGAATAGAGAACTGTAAAACATTCAGAAAGCACAAGTGTTTGTTTGTTTTTAACACAAAGTAGGTGGGTGGTACCTTTCTTTACAAAAAAAGTATGTTGACTTATTTATAACAGAACATTTTTCATTTCAGTCATCTTCTGTAAATCCAATGACATTATGTTTGCCATGTTGTGTAACCACCTCGGTATCAATTTTTTTTAAAATCAGCCCTAACAGACCATCAGTACTCTTTAGTCTCCCATTTCCCCCTCTCCCCAGGCCCTGGTAATCACTAAAAAAACTTTCTACCTTTGCCTACCGGAGACATTTCTTAAAGGCAGGATTATATAATCCTTGTCCTTTTGTGTCTGACTTATTTCACTCAGTCTAATGTTTTCAAGGTTCAGTCATACCACAGCTTTTGCACCGGGCTTCATTTCCCTTTGTGAGCCCACATTTTTACTGAACTGAACGTTAAAAATCAACCCTGTCAACCAAGCTCAAGCCCACTGCCATTGAGCTGATTCTGACATCGTGGTCCTAGAGGAGAACTGCCCCTTTGGGCTTCCGAGGCTGTAAACTCTTTACCAGAGGAGAAAGTCTCATCTTTTTTTTTCAGGAAGAGACTGGGGATGCAAACTGCTGCTAAGCAGCTCAACTGGTAACCCCCTGTGCCACCGGGGCTCCTGATGGATCCTGCTGATGGACTCAACCCGGTGTCATGAGTCAGACTGGTACCTTGAGGAACTCCGCTCTGGTCACTTCCTGATACATAACCCTCAGTTCTCAGCCTTCTCAACATAAAAGGGAACTAAGAGTTATTTGGAAATCATGTACCTGCAGCTCCTTTGAGGAACTCGTTGCTAGGGAACAAATTTATAAACTCTTACCTACTGAGAAAAGTTTTATTCTTGCCTCCTCAAATAATGGGTCCTTCTCTAACTACTAAAGATATTAAAGAAAATTGTCTTCCCAGAGTCATAGGATGAGAGTTTCTCATTTGGGCAACAATGTCACATCAACATCATTGATTACTTTAGAAGCATTCAGAGCCATGCCTGAGACTACATTATGTAGTGATCTAATGTGATGGTATTGATCATTTTCCTTGGGGTACAAAATAAATTTAGAAAATGAAGAACACTAGAGTGGTATGTTTTACAGGCCACGAGAGAAAGTTAAATCAATTCTGTTGCCACCAAGTGAATTCCAGCTCACTATGATACTGTATGTGATGGCCTGGAACTGCTCCATGTGGTTCTCTATGGAAATAGAGCTCCAGGCCCTTTGTCCTACGACACCACTTCATGGCTTCGGACTTCCAACCTCTAGGGTACAAGTTGGAAACAAACCATTTGTATTACTCAAGGGTCTTTAGAGGAACATGAAAACTCATATTTTGCATTTTAGGTTTATTTTCACAATAGGAAAAGAAAAATAAATTCTTAATAAAGGCAGCCCCTTATTTTATTTTTCATTGGCATATAGTTTACATATCACACAACTCAATGGTTTGTTCATCATAAGAACAGTTGTGGGGTCATCACTGCAATCAATTTTAGGACATTTAACTCCCCCTGTCATGTCCCTTGGTAATTTTTAATCCAGTTACTATCTCTAGATTTACCTGTCCTGAACTTCGCACACAAAAAAATATTCAAAAGGAAAACACGAAACCAAAAAAAGCCCAACAATGACCAAATAAAATGCAGAAAAACCTCAATAGAAAAGCAAGTAGAAAATATTAAAAACTGGAACAAATGTAAGATGAGTCAAAAGGGAAATCAAATGATAAGTTGCTACATTTCAACCTAATGGCATCTGCCACAATCAAGTTCACAATGCTCTCTGTCTGATAGCAAGGCTATTTACATGCCTGGATTGTGGTTACAGGAATTCACTGAAGACGTAATCCACGAGGGGACCCTGCAAATGGATTTTGGGCTTTCTCTGTTGTCTGTCACCTCCAGAAAACTGGGTGTCACAATTTAAGTTCTGAGGCCATTCCCTCCTCTAGATTTGGTTTTTATTATTTATAATCCTTGGATCACCTGGGCTGATGTGCTTCATCCATACTTAGTTGATGCCTTACTTAGATGGCTGCTTGTTTTAAGACTAAACTTAAAACCCCAAACTATTCTTTCTGATAGCCAAGAACCACCTGATTTCTCCACCACGCTTTGTTATAGCACCCACATCTTCATTGATCTCTGCATTGAGTAGGGCCATGTCATAAGGATAAATTATTCTTAGATTAAGGCTATTAAGTGTGAGCCCAAAGTTCAATCATATATCTTTGATTTATATATGCCCCTGGTACATTTTAGAGTCATCTTTATTATTCTGTTGGAGAAAACTATAGATCATTCCCATGGAGCGTAAGGCAATTCTCTGGATAGTATCATTAATTCAGCCAATCGTATAGAATTTAAAACACTGTTGAGAAAAGGAAATTCTATATGTATGGGCTAATGAGCTAGCTTTTTAGACTGCAATACATTAATTGTTGAATAGTACAGATAAAAGCAAAAGGGACCAGTCACTATACAAACAGCGAGGGTTGGGATAGGGCATAACACTCAATAGCCACGCAGATCACAAGGGCAGCCTAGCACAAGTCATAAACAAAAGCAAAAGGCATGGAAATACTAAATACATGGTACCCCCAGGCCACCATACATCGGTCACCCTCAAAGGATGAAATCCACATCAAAGTCCAATGACCACCAATTCCAGGACCTTGGGATGACGGTTGCTTCTTCTCACACAGGGGCTTTTTGTCATTAAACACAAGAGAGTATTTCAGTTCCTTAAATCTGCTATAGGTGAGTTTAAGGTAAAGTCCAGTTCAGCTAGTAGAGTTTCCAAATGGGATCCTTCTGGCGTGGCCTATGGAGAGTGTTCTGCACCCGTAAAGGGTAGAATCTAAAGTCCCAGTTGCCCATAGCATTCAGCCTGCCTCACCAAGGGCTGGATAGAAACAAGGTCAAAAGTGTCCAATTGGGAACATGATATCAGACATAGTCTACCCTTGCGGTCTATATAAGTAATATTAAATGGTTTTGTCAGTGGCAGGTTATTCCCCGAGTACACCCACCAATAGAAGTGTGATCACCTTCTTCAGGTCAAAGGAGCCCCCTCCCCTGCACCTCTTGCCTGTAATTTCCAGGGAAGTACACTAATTCTTGTAGGAGTGTCTGTTAATTTGGGGTGACCGTAGAGCAATGTCATATGGCAGGGATTGATTGGTCTTATCCCTCTCCCTCTATCCTGAGAAACCGACCCCAAATGAAGTGAGGCCTCCTCTCTCAACGTGGTTTTTAAAGTGAACAAAGAAGGGGTGATAGATGGACACCAGATAGACTCACTGTCTCATGTTTGAGAGACAAGATTAGAAGATTACATGACCTGAGAACAGAAGCCTGCCTTTGTCTCAGTGTTTATCCTTATTTCATTAATTCATCAACTGTTTATTGAGTTCCTGGTATGTGAAAGACACTGTGCTAGCCCCAAATAATATATTTCCTGCTCTTGTGATTGATTTCTCCTCTGGCTGGGGGGACAAATAAACAGTCTGCTGTGACCCTGTCACA